ATTGAGGCGAATCAGTCTTTGACAAGTAAAACATTAAAGATATAAATATACATTCCTTTCTGATAGTAATTAATTTTATCAATTGATAGGCTGAAGATGGTCCAAAGGGAAGAATCGAAATGTTCACATCGAATAAAACTTTTGACAAGTTTATTGCTTTACTTTGACAAGTAAAACATTAAAGATATAAATATACATTCCTTTCTGATAGTAATTAATTTTATCAATTGATAGGCTGAAGATGGTCCAAAGGGAAGAATCGAAATGTTCACATCGAATAAAACTTTTGACAAGTTTATTGCGCCTAATTTTTGCGCTCTTAGTGCATTTTTTTAAAAGTGAATTTTTATATTTATACATATATTAAAGCCTATATTCGTTCTATTATTAATAATTAATTTATATTGAGATATCTCGTCAATTTTATGCAAACAATTCTATTATTATTTAAACATTACGGTAATGTGTCACAGTTTCATAATTGCCTCAGCAAATATTTAACAAAGTGTTATCTTTTATTTTCTAAAAGGAACGTGACAAAACATCTGCAAAGAATCCTTCTTCTGTCACTCTAAGTGACTCGATACAAGTGCCGTGTAGTCTACTATAAAGACTGCTGGCCAACCGTAAACGTTTACCAAGGTAAAAGTACATGTGCACCATCTTTTAAAGCAGGCTGCTACTTACTCCCTTTCCTTCTTTTGACGTCGAGTGGCGAGCAGATTGCACCGGAAAGGGACACCGCGCGTGAGAAGAGAACTGTCAATAGAATGGCGAGTGAAAAAAATACAAAAGTTGAAAATAAAATTTTAACAAAAAGTTCAAAAAATAATAAAAATTCACAAATTACGATACCTTTGAAAAAAAAAAAAAAAAAAAAATACAACATCCAATGGAAAAAGGGATTATTATAAGAGTCAGGTTAGCAAAGCGTAATTTTTTCTCTTCTAATACAAATTGATTGAAAATTTTATAAATGTACGTTTCGTTCCCCGATTTGAACCATCAGTGAATCCAATGGAAAAGGGATTATTATAAGAGTCAGGTTAGCAAAGCGTAATTTTTTCTCTTCTAATACAAATTGATTGAAAATTTATAAATGTACGTTTTGTTCCTCGATTTGAACCATCAGTGAATCGAGATAATAAAGAATGTGTACGATTTTTATTAGTTGGATATTCAATCCAGAATTTAGATTTTATTTTATTTTTTTTAATATTATATATTACTTATATCACTTCCCTTCGTTAAAATAAAGTTTACATTTTTTCTTCGTCTGTGCTATTAAAAGCTCCAATATAGAAAACATCTAAGAAAGTATATTTCACAAAAATATATTTTCCGACGCAGTAGATAAATATTAAGAAAAAAATAACGATCGAAATGAATTATAAAGTAAAAGAACGTGTGCGTATATATGATGTGTGTGATATAAAGGTGCTAAATCGCGCGGTAAGCGATCTCTCTTCAATGTTTCGCGCTGATTATTGCAATTTGGAAAAAAAGGAGATGTAACGAAGACTCTCCTCGGTGGTAACGGAAACTATACTGTAAGCGTTTACCAAGGTGAAGGCGCGCGTTTGCTGTATACCCATTCTTAGGTGGGATAGCCGGTGCACATTACCTTCCTACTTTGAAAAGTGGTGAGCAGATTGCAAGAGAAAAGGATACCCGAGAGCTGCGCCGTCGACGGAGATAGCGGCAAAAAGAAAATGAACAACGAACGGAACTAAAAGGGGTGCACAGATAAGAAGGTGAAAAGAAGGAAATGTCCACGAACAAGTGGAAACTGCAAAGGGGACGAAAAACGAAGGGGATGGAAAAGCGGAGGGTAGGAAATGGAAGCGAAAAGAGAGAACAAGATCTCGAACAGGGATATATCTCGTGAAAAGGGAGAGAAAAAAGGGTAAAGGTTCAGAAAGACGTTTATCGAACGAAATGAGAGGTAGGGTCACCCAGGAGATAAGACAGATTTTCTTCTCCCCTCGCGATCTTTTTTCTCACACAATTCTCATTTCATAAGAACGAAAATATTCTAGGAAAGGCGTTACTTTCCGCAGCGGGTCCGCAATAAAACGCAAAACGCCTTTGAAACAGCATCGGTCGCTCCAGCTTCCCGTGTCGCCGGAACACTTGGCACAGAGTGAAGAGAACAGCAATTCCTCGATGCGCAATGGGGCAACCGTAAACGTTTACCAAGGTAAAGGCTCTCGTTGTAGAATCTTCTCTCGACGATAGCGGCAACAGAACGCGACCTACTGCCTCGCCGTTGAATTGAGCCAGCGCGTCCGAGACGGAAGGTAAGAAAAGCAGAAATAAATAACATAATATAGATCTAATGAAAGAAACGAGGATAAGAGGAAGGAGACGAACAAACATCTACTTGAAACGGCAGGAACGAGGAGAGACAAACTCAAACATAAATAATGTTGAAGAAAATAGAAATTTAGAAAAAGATGGAGAAAATGGCAAAGAATGGCGTAGAATAAAAAAGTAAAAATAATATAGAATATGGATCCATTGAAAAAAAAAGACGTATGTGTGTGTGAGAGAGAGAGAGAGTTCAGCACAAGGATAAGCTAGTATTCACTGAGGAAGAAATACAAAGAAAGACAAATAAAAGTCTAAATAATACGATGTAGAAAATGGGACCAGAAAAGGAAAGAAAAAGAATAACGTTTGTAGATATGAAGAGGGATAAAACGCGACGCGAAAGCAGAGGAAGAATAAAGAACAACATATTCTTATATCCGTTTTTCGAAAAACTAGTGACAATCTTCTCCAAAAATTGAGCACCTTCTACACGAGCCCTTTCTTTACCTCGCCCTCTCGTTTCTCGGATATCATCTTATTACGCAACTCGCGTAATGTCTGCCTGAGGAGCGATATATACGACTAACACATTGTTGGCGAGACGCACCCTTCATGGCGAGATCGTAAATGTCTCGTGACTTTGCAAGGGCGGTCTCGCTGTAAAGATTGTAACCACGGCTTAGAGCAAGCATCATGAATCTGCTACGCTTTAAAGGAAAAATGGGAAGGAGGCGCAAAATCCGAAAAGAAGATGAAAAATGGAAATCCGCCGATGATTAAAAAATAACTTCCGAGCATAAAAATATGATCCAAATTCTCTCGTCCCAATTTAGTTCTTAAAATACTTAAGGAAATATTCAATGGATTTGATTCGACTTAAAAATGGCTTACAGTTATCTGATACTGTTATTATTTCAATAAAAATCTGTAAAATGTGGATACATTTCTTATTAACGAAAATGTTGATGGAAGAAAAGAGAACAAGATGTAATTTTATTTCTGCGTATATCCGTATTTTTATTCCTGTGTGAGCTAGTTATTGCGGCAAAAATATTTCGCGATAATGTAATTGACCCAAATATCACAACACGGAAATAAATATTATAAAATTACTGCAAAATGGAAAAATAAAATGCTTTAACGATATATTATTTAATGGAATAATAATGCTTTCAAATATAAATTAATAAAATAATTTATCTAAAAATCTTTTTTCCTCTTTTTTTGTAAATCTTTATAAATTCTCATATCTATATATATTTTATTATGTTTTATTTTATCAAAATAAAATTAATAAAATATAATTAACATTATATCTCTTTACATTCAACATATAAAGTTTATGTAATAAAATTTAAAAAGTTTATCGAAAAATCTCAAATTAAGATTTATTTAATTATTTGATATTATGCCAAGAAACATTTGTATCTGTACACGATTAAATCAGTTTCAATAAAAAATTAATTTTCCTTGAAACTGACGCACTACCATTCGAATCTGACTCTTACTAGCTCGGTGAAATTTAAACTTGTGTTTCATATTGAGAACCTTACTATTTCTTAGTTGTTAAAGAAATGTAATGCAGCAGATACTTCCAAAGTATTATTTTGAAAGATAACTTTTGAGCAAACTTCCTAAGTAACTCAATTATTCAATTCGAGGTGTCTATGAAGAAGGAGTATAAATGCACGAAGTTACTTTTCGAGAGAACGTAATCCAAAAATTTTTTAGAGCATGTTCATTACTGTACTCATTGTCAGCTAATTTTTTTAGAACTCATATTTTTTTTATCCAGGCTTCTCAATTATAATAGACATGTATGGTGTTGCATATACATTTTCTTCTATATATAAAATCTCAAAAATATCTAAATAAGAATATATGTCCCTACGTCATCGGAATAAAAATTTTTTTTATTCGAGTTTTTTTCTACAATATGCATATTCGGATCAGAGTTATTTTTCCGCAAAATATTTTTGTTGACTAGTGGATATATGACAATTTATAAGTACCATACAAACGTTCACTTTGAAAATGGAACACGTGTTGTATTTTAAATATAATCAATTTCCGATACATTATAAATTTCAAAAACAAGAATACAAACTGTTTCACACTTCGAAGGTTTCTTCTTCCTTTTTTTTTTTTTTTTTTTTATCGATTTAATGTGAACTTAATGAATAGCCGGGACCGCTCCGAAAGAACGCGAGGTAGGAACCAAGGGAGCAGTGGCGAGGAGATACTGAAGGCGGAGTAACTTTGAATCGTTTAACTTTTGAAAAATATTATATTACTTGAGAGCATGTTCTCGCTCAACAGCTCTTTACAGAATAATGCGAGAATCGCCACGTACGGCGAAACTTCCTGATTTTCCCGACTGAGAAGGGGAACCAAAATCACGCATCAGCCGGATGACACGTGTCTAAATGGACGCAAACATCGGTGAACGCGAACCGAGGAGCGAAAACATTGACATAAGCTCCTTGGTGTTTTCAAATTTGAAGGTTTAACGAGCTGATCGATAGCCTTCTAATTATTATTTGTAGTCGTGTCTAAACATACCGCCCGCCTCGAAACCATCGTTTCGAAATGACTTGAACAACAAAAAAAAGAGGGGCGACTGGTGAAGCGATCGGTATGTCGTTTGACAGAATGAGTTTAAAGCGATATCTGGAGTCTGACCTTAATTACGTAAGGTTGTCCAGGCTTTCGACGTCTATCGGAAGTAAGCATAATTTGACAATAGGCCGAGTATATTCGGAAGTCGCGGTTTTCACCGTCGCGACGCGAATCAAACCGTCTGGACCCGGGTGACATCGGATGACGCGAGCTAAGTCCCACTTACAAGGCGGAAGGAGAGAATTGCGTAACAGGACCAGTGACCCGACGCGAACTCCGTTTTTCGAAACTTGCTTCCATTTGACGCGTTGTTGCAAGGTATTGATGTAGTCCTGCTGCCAGATTTTCCAGAAACGTTCTGTGAGCTGGCGAACAAGTTGCCAGCGCGTCAAACGGTTCTCATTTAGATGCAGTACAGAGGGTTCAGGCGCGATCGTAATCGCGGATCCGATCAAGAAATGACCGGGCGTCAGAGAATCGCAATCGTCGACGGAATCAGTGAGAGGCGCGATAGGGCGCGAGTTTAGGCAGGCCTCAATGTTGCAGAGAATCGTTGTGAACTCTTCGAACGTAAGAGTGTGTGAACCGACGATTCTGCGAAGATGATACTTGACACTGCGAACCCCGGCCTCCCATAGTCCGCCGAAGTGAGGCGCGGATGGAGGCATAAAGTGCCATGACACCCCGTCGGAAGCGGCACTATTTTGAAAAGTTGGATCGCGCAGCGCGGCTCGAAATGATGCGGCCAATTCGCGATCGGCGCCTACAAAAGTGGTTCCATTATCAGAGTAGACTGATTCAGGCATGCCACGTCGGGAGCAGAATCTTGAAAAGGCGCCTAAGAAGGCTGGAGTGGAATAACTCTCGACTAATTCTAAATGTATGGCTCGCGTGGCCATACAGACGAAGATGGAGATGTAGGCTTTGCGGGAAGCGACACCGCGTCCCGACATTGATCTGATTAAAACGGGACCAGCATAATCGAGACCACAATTAATAAACGCGCGCGCAGGAGGAGAAACGCGCACCGAAGGCAAGTTTCCCATCAATTGATTGGGAGTAGCTGCCTTTTCACGCGTGCATACTACGCAGCGGAAAACGACAGCTTTGACGATATTTCGAGCACGCAATATCCAGTACTCTCGACGACGAAGAGTAGCTAGAGTTAATTGAGGCCCCGCGTGAAGAGATCTTAAATGCACGTGCTGCACGAGGAGGTTCACAAGAGGATGTGCAGCTAAGATTATAGGATGTTTTTCGGAGAACCGCATGGGGGCACGCGACAGCCGCCCGCCAACGCGGATTAGTTTGTCTTCGCCGAGAAATGGCGTGAAAGACAACAATGCACTCTTTGCTGGAATCGAACGTGTTGCTGCAACAACGATTCCTTTTCCCGCGCGAATAATTCTGATTGAATTTGCAACAACCAAAAGTCTCGTGCTTTTCTACATTCGAGCGCGGAAATTGACCGGGAGCCTTCGTCGCATGTGTCGCGCGGCACCGAGTGTCTTTTAAGCTTTGAGATGAATCTCATGATGTAGGCGGTGACACGAATTAAACGCGGCCACGAAGAGTACCGTGCGGCAAGGTCCCATGGTTTTCGTCGCGACACGAGATGAGACGCCGCGTTTCTTTTCGCTCCATCGTGGGCATCGAAAGAGACGAATCGAATGGCGCCGGCCATTCGGATTCAGAAAAATGTAACCAAGCAGGTCCCCGCCACCAGAGCGTGTGAGAGGTAAAATTCTCACCGGGTATACCGCGTGACGCGCAATCCGCGGGGTTGTGATCAGTGGGGACGTGTCTCCATTGCGCGTTTGGGAGTCTAGATTGTATTTCAGAGACGCGATTCGCGACGAACGTCTTCCACTTTGATGGATGTTGCGCCACCCACGCGAGAACTACCGTGGAATCTGTCCAACAGTGGCAAGAATCTGCAGGGAGATGCAGGGATGATTTGACAAAATCGATTAGTTTCGCGAGTAACACGGCAGCGGCGAGTTCCAGCTGTGGAATACTTAATGTTTTTATCGGCGCGACTTTTGATTTTCCGATTAACAATCGTACTGTTATTTCACCGGATAACGAAACTATTCGAATATACACGGCGGCAGCGCGTAAGCGTGCGAAGATGCGTCTGCAAAACCGTGTAAGTCGCATCTGACGCAATCTGCACCGCGTTGAATCCAGCGGTCCAATTGAAGACCGTGCAGAGCGGCGAGAGATGAGCGAATGGAGTCCCAGCGATCGAGAATGTCAGCGGAAAGCACGTCGTCCCATCCGATTTTGAGCAGCCAGAGTTTCTGAAGGAAAATCTTCGCGACAACGGTAACCGGAGTACTCCACCCCAACGGATCGAACAATCTCGCGATAGTTGACAGGATCGACCGTTTGGTAGTCTGCTCGGAATGCGGAAGTGTGACGTTAAATTGAAAGGCGTCAGAGGACGGATTCCACCGGATGCCGAGAATTTTAAGATGGTCATCTGTTTGAAGCGTTATATCGCAAACTAGGCCGTGATCTGCGCTAGCGATATCGCTGAGGAGTTGAGAAGAGTTGCTCGCCCATTTTCTCAGCTCGAATCGGCCTCGACGAAGCAACGCGCATACCTGCTCGCGAACTTGACGAAGGAGAGGTATGTCGTCCGCCCCGAAGAGAATGTCATCGACATAAGTATTTTGCTGCAGAACAATAGCAGCGAGTGGGGGAAAGAACTACCCTCATCTTGAGCAAGCTGACGAATGACGCGTAGCGCTAAAAATGGCGCACAGGCTGTGCCGTATGTGACAGTAGTGAGCTGATAAGCTCGAGCGGGTTCTGAAGGAGCGCCGCTCCATAGAATTCGCTGGTAATCGATGTCACGCGGGTCCATAACTATTGGCGATACATTTTTGTTATATCGGCAGCATAAACGTAGCGGAACTGTCGCCAGCGCAGAATGACAGCCGATAAGTCCGCTTGTAACTTTGGCCCGGTGAGCAAGTGATTATTCAACGACGTTGAATTGGTCGTCAGACTCGACGCGTTAAATACGACTCGCAATCTTGTCGTAACGCTGCTGTCGCGAATGACAGGATGATGAGGGAGATACACTTCCTGCGAGGCAACTTGATCGCTCTTCACTTCGTTCATATGTCCTAATGATTCGTAGTCGTGCATAAATTCGGCGTAGGCCGCACGAAGGTCGGAATGTAGAAGGAAGCGACGATGCAATCCTCGCAGGAAGCGTTCAGCCGTGTGGCGCGAATCGCCGATGTCGATCGGCGGACCGTTCTTAAACGGAAGGCGCACTGTGTATCGACCGTCAGCACCGCGCGAATGCGTGGCTGTGAAATGCTCCTCACATTGCTGCTCTTCAGGGCTGAGGAGAGCCTGTCGAGGAGTTTCTTCGATTTCCCAGAATCGTCTGAGCTCCTGATCTAGAGCCTCCGAATTCGCGCAATGCTGAACGGTGATCGCTCGCGATTGCGTCGACAGCTCGGACATGGGCCCCGACAAAACCCAGCCGAAAATGGTTTGCTGCGCAATTGGCTGCCCAGGGGCGCCTTTACGAACGCCGCTAAGCAGCAATTCGCCATATAAGTCTGCTCCGATCAGGATTTCGATCGGGTCAGCGCTTGTTGGATTCGGATCGGCCAGATTGAGATCGCTTAGATAGCTCCAATCATAGTTGGAATTCGCCTTGTAAGGCGAATATTTTGTGAGAGATCTGAGAATCGACGCGGTTGTCGTGAACACGGGAGCAGCTTGATTGATCGGAGCGATCCGAATCTTAGCGGCGAATTGACAAGTTCCGGCGTTCATTCCGCCGACGGCGGAAATCGAGAGCGGTTGGCGAATGCGACGCATTCTGAGAGTTTGTGCGAGACGCTCCGTGATGAAGGTGATCTCCGAGCCTTGATCGAGAAGCGCTCGCACGGTGAGAGTCCGACCCGACGGTGCACCGACGGTGACGCGGGCCGTCGCGAGTAACATTTGCGGGAGCGCGACGCCTGTTAGCTGGGAGCATAATGCCGTGGCCGAAGTAATCGCGATGGAGTCTGATGACACACTCGACGAGGTTTCGTTTTTTTGAGAGACAGCGGATGCAGTTGAGGAAGAAGCCGAGTCAACGTGCAGCATCGAGTGATGCTTGCTTTGGCAAATTCTGCATGAGTATTGACTTGGACACGTTTGTACAGCGTGCTTTGCGCTCAAACAATTGACGCATCGCTTCGCTTTTAAAATGACTTCAAGGCGTTGACTCGGAGTCCTCCTCAAAAATTGCGGACATTTGTTGATGAAATGCGCGGCCCGACATAATGGGCACGATAAACCAGCGGCAGTGGCGTTAGCACTGGTAACCTTTGGCGCGCGCAAGAATTTGGAAGCATTAGCCGGAGAGATTTCCTCCAATGCACGAATGCGCGTGTCGAGAAATCGGTCGAGAGCTTCATACGAAGGAATGTTCGGGTCGTCACCGGTTTTTAACTTCCACGCTTTCCGAGTGGCGTGATCAAGTTTTTGCGTGACGCTTAAAAACTAACATATCGCTCAACATTTGATCGGGTGATCGATTTAAATTTTTAAAGAAGCGATAGCGCGATTCGCTTTGTCGCGAAGTGCGTTAAGTTCGACAGCGGATTCGCGAGCGACCGTCGGCAGAGAATATAGCGCTGATACGTGCACGTCGACGAGCCGTCGTTTATTGTCGAATCGTGAAACTAATGTTTTCCACGCGATATCAAAATTATCCGCGGTGATTTGAATAGATTTTATAGTGTCGAACGCACGACCGGTGAGACTTGAAGCTAGGAAATGCATCCGCGAAAATGCAGTTAATTCGGTATTTTGAATTATGAGAGAAGTAAAGCGATCGCGGAAGCTCTCCCAGTCCTCGACATTTCCGAAAACGGCGGTAGTTGAATCGGCGGCAAATGAGTTAAAGAAAAAGACGATGGTTCAGCGGTACTTATCGTGGACTGCGACAGGCTCGTTCTGGTGGGCGTTGGATCCAGCTCTTCGAGGCAGTCAGCCATGTAGTCGAGGGTTGTCTCGTAGTATTCCTCGCAATTTTCGAAAATCGTGTTCGAAAAGTAGTCCATGGTCCGCTGCTGCTCGGCGGTGAACGCTCGTGCCAAGATAGCGTGCTTCTCGATGCACCGTGTCCAGGTCTCCTTCAAGGTTGACATTCGTTGACGAATCTTAGCCGCCGTATAATTGGCTCTGCCAACTTTTTTAAAGTTGGAGAGCGCTCGCTCGACAGATTGAAGCATTGTTAGCTGCTGCGAGAGATGATCGCTCATCGTGTTGGCTGTCTCCACCTTGGGTGCGGGCGACACGATGACTCCGTCACTGAGGTCCAGCAGAGAGAGATAGAGAGAGAGACGACCGCACTGCTTTCACCGTGGGTTACCTCGATCCGGCTCGAAGGACCAAATTGTATGTTCACACTTCGAAGGTTTCTTCTTCCTTTTTTTTTTTTTTTATCGATTTAATGTGAACTTTAATGAATAGCCGGGACCGCTCCGAAAGAACGCGAGGTAGGAACCAAGGGAGCAGTGGCGTGGAGATACTGAAGGCGGAGTAACTTTGAATCGTTTAACTTTTGAAAAATATTATATTACTTGAGAGCATGTTCTCGCTCAACAGCTCCTTACAGAATAATGCGAGAATCGCCACGTACGGCGAAACTTCCTGATTTTCCCGACTGAGAAGGGGAACCAAAATCACGCATCAGCCGGATGACACGTGTCTAAATGGACGCAAACATCGGTGAACGCGAACCGAGGAGCGAAAACATTGACATAAGCTCCTTGGTGTTTTCAAATTTGAAGGTTTAACGAGCTGATCGATAGCCTTCTAATTATTATTTGTAGTCGTGTCTAAACACAACTAAATATTGATTTTAGGCAAGATAGTATAAAAAATCAAGTTATCACTTCAATATTTTCATCATACGACATAATTTAAATACGTAATAATATCTTGCACATTTATTTTCAATTATTTTTCTTCGTATTTTTCTTCTTTCCTATTTGATCTTTTGCATTACGACATACATACATACACAGATATGATAAATATATATACATGTATTTATGCAATATATTATTTGTGCAATATCTATCTTGTCTTTTTTGTCTTATTTTTTATTTAGGAAAAAAGATCGATTTATGCATTTTTAATTAACACGAGAAATTTCCTTTTAAAATGCGAGAGAGCTACTGCTGCAGAAAACGAGTGCCGATAATGTCAAGAGACAAATATTTAATAGCCTGGGTTCGTTCGCGGGGTATCCGAATTTAAGATTATTACTCACGCCTAGCTCATAAATTTTAAACAAGCGCTGCTTCTGTGCCGCAAACTGCCGCAGTTACCCTGCAGTGCCTTTCTCGGCGCGCTTAGACCCGAAGAAACTCCGTGACTCCGAGTTTCCGGCAGGCCGTGTGTGATCGGCGACTTGTGGACACCGAGAGTACTTCTGCAAGTTTGCGGCACGGCCTTAACGAGGCAAGATCCCAACCTCCTCCTCTCGCAGCCGAAACGACTCATCCAGCTTTCGGGTTAAGACGCTCTTTACGAACTGGATTTCACACATGAACGCGTCCGCCAATTGGGTGAGTCGCGCTACTAGCAGACCTAAAGTAAACCTACTTACGACAAGGCAATTTGTTCAACTCTTCAAGCCTCGGGGCTCGCCTCGTCTTTTGTTTTTACTCAAAATCCAAACGACTTAAACTCTTGTAATTTACCCTACCATCAATTTTAAACTGCAGTAGGGGAGAGAGAAAGAACGCAAATTTTAAAATTCTGATGTGACAATAATAGAGAAGATGTGTGTAAGCAGACAAAATATTCTCGGTAAATAAAATAATTTATATTAATTTGTGGAAATTAAATCTAAAAATTATAATACTAAATTTTAATATGCAACTAATAATTAAATTTATGATTATTATACTGAAATTCTAAATATACCGAGTGATAAAATTATGTAGTTTTCACAATATATTGTATAATTGTTTTATAAAAAAAAAAAATATCATTAAAATATTAAAAATTATTGTTACTGTATAACATAATAATAAAGACAGAAAGATTTTCGTATTACATAAATTGTGATTATCAAAATGAAACTTTGATGCCTACATTTATCAAGACCTTTTTTCTCGCGTACAAAGAATTATAGTCACTTATAAACCTCTGCATCTCTTATTGCTATTTTATCGACCATTCGCGGAAAAACTTTCTTTCTCCGATATTACCATATCTCTTTCTTCGATATCGCTTCATTTGAGTCGCAAGACTATTATGAGATGTTTAATAAAAAAGATCATAAAGTGCATACACAGTGCCACATTATTGTACATTGCACAATGAGATTATAAAGTTTTGTAAAATGTTCATTCGCATGCATCACGGTAAAATTAATTATAAAAGCGGACGAGAAATATGCGGTGTCCTCTTATCTTGAAATTCGCAATTTACACA